TTGAAGTTTCCACGCTGTTCTTGTTTTGAAATTACAACAGAGACAGTAACAGAAACTACACGAAAAGAAAAAGTGAAATATCTGCTTAGAGCATAGGGGAAACACTCATCAGCTGCCAGAGCTTAAAAATCATTTAACTGCCATTGTGGGTGATCTGACTGATACATTGCACAGGTGCAATAAATAAAGAGTTTTAAGACAACAATTGAGTAGGCAGGGGTTTCCCTGCTTATGAGCTAGTCTCATGCTGTACCTTCATCTCATGGTGCTGGTCCAGCTGCTCCAGGTCCAGAGGGCTTTCCCCATTTTCCCTCTCTTGTACCTTGGCTTCAGTTTCTGCCCCTCCTTCTTCTAGGGGGAGCACTGGGCCTATGCCTGGAGTCCTGTAGCTACTGCCAGAAGCATTTCCATCGCAGTAATTTGTTGTGGGTGATGCAGGAGCCGTGGCAGTTTCATCTCTTTCTCCATTCACTATGTGCGTATCAAGCAAGGGTTCAGAGGCCTGAATAGAAGTATCTGGGCTAAAAGTGGCAGCTTTCTCCTCCTCACATTCCATCTGGTTTTGTGCTGCCATTACACCGTTGGCCACACAAGTCTGTGCACCCTGAGTCTGATCTGTATCATTGCCCTTCCTCCGTGCCAAGTGCTGGGACAGGAGTTTTTGCTGAGGTGTGGTTGTCAATCCATGCCTTCCCGGGGTTCTAGGAACATTTAGGTTCACAGCAGAATCTTTCTTCAAATCACTATAATTTGATAATGAGCTAAAAGATAAAATACGAAGGAAGCATGAAAACATTGGCATGGAAAAGTTCTAGAATTAAGACAAGTTTATTCCAGTTGAAAAGGAACATTTGCTGATTTTTTTTCTATCTCTGATGGTTTTAGAAACACAGATTTGAATACTCTCAGTGTAGCCCCACGTCTCTTTGGGTGCTATCCACATTTAAATAAACATTTAAATAAAGAAGATGACCCTGAGCTCTACCTATGGGGACTGAAACATTTCCTTGGGTTATTTATTTATTTATTTATTTATTCAACACTTAACTTTTCTTGATCCTTGTACTGTTTAATAACGTGACTAGTTAGTAAAGACTTAGATATAATACTTATATTTAATAAAATAATTTCTTCCTAACATTTTTACTTACTGATCTTTCTTAACATTTTTAAATTGGTGTAGCCAGTCCTTAATTTATGAGCAAATTATGAACCAACAAGTTACTTTTATTTGGAAGGCATAATGCATACTCTCAAAACGTTTTTATTCATGCTGCCATAGCCTTTTAACAGGTCTCTTTTTCTACTCCGATCCCCTACAATAGAACCTCTGCAGGTCAGTCACAAAACTCTGAGGGCTTCCTCATACACTCAGGGGAAAACTAAAGTCCCAAAGACAGCCTATGATATTCTACATACTCTAGCTCCCAGAGTGCCTGGCCTCATTAGATTCCATTCTTCCCTAAGTGTGTTCTTGCCATACTCCTTGATGCTCCCCATTCTTAATACCCAAGTGTGTGTGTCTTGGGGTCCTTGCAGCTGCTGTTCTCTGCTTAGGACAATCTCCCCCCAGATACTGGTATTCCTTCTCACCATTCAGGTTTCTGCTCAGATAACACCTCTCCAAAGAGGCTTTCCTAGATTCACCTATCTATAACTAACAGCACTCTCCATCACTAACTCCACATCTTATTTTATTTTTCTTTAAAGTCCTTATTACTGCTTGACATAATAGTAGTCCTAATAGGAGAATGAAACTTACTCCCAATATGGAACAATATTCCTATAGAAATATTTGCACAGATTTTAATCTAGGATTCTGGGAGTGGGGTGGGGAATGGAACACAAAACTCTGGGCTACAAGTTCAAAGATTCCTGTGACCTAAATGAGAAGAAATTAAGCAACTAAAACTCGGTGAGGGTGCAGACTTGCTCTCTGCTTTATTCTTACCTCTTAGCATGGTGCCTGACACAGGGGAAGTACTCAATAAATATTTGATGAGCTTTGAATAACCATGATAATGATGATGATTATGACAATAATAACAGCCGGAAACACTTCTTAAGTGCTTACTAAGAACCACAAACTACACGAAGCCCCTTACAATAATTATATTGTTTCATCCTCACAATAATTCCAAAGACAGGGATCCCACAGAGAAATCTAGGCTTCAAAAATTAATGTGGCCAGTGTCACATGGTAACAAGCAGAAAAGCCAGAGCTCAAACATGAATCCAACTCTAAATCCCTTGGTCTTCGCCCCAAGTTACGATGTCCTGGAGCAGAAGGACAGAATAAGCGTCAGGTGAACAGGCTGCAGTCAAAATGTGGGAAGAAAGTCTAGGGCTGATTATCTTCCCCAGTGCAGGTCATGGAATAAAGGGAGGTGGGGAAGGAAACAGCAAGCAGCCCAGTCCCAAGGACAATGCTCAGATGTGTCACCTTCGCTTTTACTCCACCCTTCCCAGTCACTGCTGATCTGGACTGGAGCATGAAACAGGGAATAAAAGTAGACAGCAAGAAAGTGATGAGGGAGGAAAAAAGATACAGGTAAAGTCCAACACCAGAGGAAAGAAAGCGATAAACTGAGTAGGGGAAAATGTCATATATATAAAACTTGGAGGTGGGCAATTTTTTTTTTTTTTTTGAGATGGAGTCCTGCTCTGTCACCCAGGCTAGAGTGCAATGGTGCGATCTCAGCTCACTGCAACCTCTGTCTGCCGAGTTCAAGCGATTCTCCAGCCCTAGCCTCCCAAGTAGCTGGGACTACAGGTGTGTGACACCACGCCCGGCTAATTTTTTGTACTTTTAGTAGAGACGAGGTTTCACCATGTTAGCCAGGATGGTCTTGATATTCTGACCTCGATCCACGGAGGTGGGCAATATTTACATGTTATACATTCTTGAATTGAGATTTGCCCCCGAGAAGAGGACATCTTTGGCCTAGCTAATTTCCCAAGTAGTTTTTAGAGATTTTAATCAAACTGTCCTCCTCCTGCCCACATCAGTCTCTGGGTTCCCTGGTGGAAAGATCCTCAACAGATCCTCTGAAACAAATGTAAGCATTTTCAGATCTTGTCTAAAGGATGGCTTTGAATGAGAGCTGCAAATGTCCCATAATAAGTAACATCAAGGGTATGAGTGGGAGGGAGGGAAGGAGACAGGGAAGGATTAGGTGGGTAAGGAGTTAGTAAAATCAGTAGTTGAACCAGTACTTGGATTCCTGCTGCTTTGTGGATGCCAAACCATAAGGGAAAATAGCTGACCTTGGAATATCCATGGCAAAAACCAGTGTTCAGGTCTACAGAAACATAATCTTATTTCTAAAATCTTAAAGTCTTTCCTCGGTCAAAAAGAGTACTCTCTCTTACTCTGAAAAAGAGAAATAAAGAGGAACAGGAGAAAGAAAGAGAGGAAAGAAAGAAGGAAGGAAGGGAGGGAGGGAGGGAGGAAAGGAGGAAGGAAGGAAGGAAGGAAGGAAGGAAGGAAGGAAGGGAGGGAGGGAGGGAGGGAGGGAGGAAGGAAGGAATGGAAGGGAGGAAGGAAGGAAGGAACGGAAGAGAAAGAAAGAAAACCACAGTAAAAATGAAAGAAAATCTACTTGTTCCCAATCTCTCATCTTAACAAAATGGTGTTACTTGGAATTTTTTTTTTTTTTAAGGCAGGGTCCCACTCCATCACCTAGCCTGGAGTGCAGTGCCACAATCTCAGCTCACTGCAGCCTTGACCTCCTGGGCTCAAGCAATCCTTCCACATCAGGAAGGACCAAGTAGCTGGGACCACATGCTTGCACCACCCAAGTACTAGCTGGGACCACATACGTGCACCACCCAAGTACTAGCTGGGACCACATACGTGCACCACCATGCCTGGCTAATTTGTGTATTTTTTGTAGAGACAGGGTTTTGCCATGTTGCCCAGGCTGATCTCAAACTCCTGAGCTCAAGCAATCCAACACTATGGCCTCCTAAAGTGCTGGGATTACAGACATGAGCCACCACATCTAGCCACGTAAGGTCTTAACAACAGTATGATATGACCATTATGACTAGACTCCACTCTAACAGATGTTGGTTCTTCCTATCAATTTCCTGTGACAACTAAGAACCTCTCTGTAGTTTACAAAGCTAGTCTAAGCTCTCATAAGGAGGGCTAAAACTGAAAATGACCCTTGCAAAGACAAAGGCATCGCTCAACAGTAAATACAAATCTTGTACTGAAGTTCTGTAGATCCAATGCAGTTATTAACCCACTCACACACTTTTGGGGCCAGTCTGTAGTGGTAATACCTTACTGAGAACATATCACTTTTTTTCGTATTGGCAGTGGATTCTGCCACAAATAATATTTCTTCGCCAGACCTGTCAAAGCACACTATACCCAATTTGCACAGAACTTGCTTAAAAAAAAAATCATAAATCATAGCATATTTTTCCTTAGATGAATTAAAACTTCAACCTTTGCATCAAAACAGGACTGAATTTGTGAAGCTTGAATGATTAAAAAACATTAAGTGGAAAAAGTACAAACATTTCACATGTAGAGGAATCTAAAACAATGCAGAGTGGGTTAACCAAAATGGCGAGGATGAGAGGACGCAGCCTTTGGAATACTGATCCTTTTAAGGTTTCAGAAAGTTATCCCTGAAACCTAGGGATGCAGGCTCTGACATGCTTATGTTGTTATTAAGTCAGGGCTCCAGCCCCTCCTTCTATTATGCAGTCACTAGGCATGGCCCCTGGAATTTGCAAACACGAGGGGTCACTTTGTTGTTACTAAGTCAACTTAACCCCGAGCAGCAAAAAAAATGTTTTGAATGGAATTAAACCGTTCTAGTAAAGATCACTGTAATCTAAGACAGCAAAGGTCTTGTAAATCCTACTTCAGAGGAGGAGATGCTGAAGTTTAAATATTTATGACCAAAGTTCCTACAATTTGAAGAGGTTTCTAAGTTAATTTTCTCCAGAACTTGTAACTTTGTAAAATAGAGGGAGGCTCTGAGTTGTTTACAGGAAATTGATAGGAAGAACCACCATGTGTTAGACCCATTTTTAAAAATGAGGGACACTGCAGGTTTTGTGCTTGGTCACAATTCCCAGAAGATACTCAAACTATTTCCACGTTATAATTTCATTACATAAGTAATAGTAAATCTCACAAATAAATAATAAAATCACCCTAATAGGAAACAAGTCTCAAATATTACACTGGAATGAAAATATTTGTTTTCAAGGATAAAAGTGAAGTTATATACATTCTGTTTATTATACATAGACTTTTGATGGCAGATAATAAAATCCTATTGATAAATTTTTTAAAAATTACATTTAAGTCAGCAATGAAATTTATCAACAGACTAAGAAAAATAAATAAATGAGAGTTTTATAAGGGGAAAAGCATTTTAAGTGGGTTTCTGTTTATCTTTAAAAATGAGAAATATAATATTTCACCTATCTTGTTTTTTAGAACACTGGGACTAAAGAATACATATAAAACTGAAATTTAACATACATTTTGCTATTGGTAATATCTCTTTTAAAACCTGTAATATGATGGAGTATGTGGAGAGAAGAAACAGAGACTGAATGGGTATAGAAGATCCACATTAAATAAAATGGGTCAGAAAGAAGAGAGGGCCTAGGGAGGAGACAAGCACACAGGGGTCACATTCACGAACACACACAGTGAGAAACGAAGAGATAGAGGCCACTGCTCAGCCATTCCAACCCAGATATCCAGAGTCCCACAGAATGACCCACAAGGAACAACACATAGAGAATGACACACAGAGATACAGAGGCAACAAGAGAAAGCACACAGATACAAAAGCACACAATTTCATGAAAAAGTTGGTGGCCTACAGTGCTGCACATAGGTAATACATTGTAAATGACAGTGCATATTAGGGCAAGATTAAGTCACTGGTTTTAAAAATTCACCCTTTCTAAAGGCCTACCATACCTAATGGAATAAAATACTCTATGCTTTTTATTTAGAAAGCCTATAACTATCACTTTTTTGAAAATCAGCTTTCTTCTTCCCCTGCCTTCTCCCATTGTAAATTAGCTCTTACCTGCCTCCTTCAAAGCGACTGATGAGATCTGATACTTTACTGGGTTTTTCTTTTGAGACACAAGAAGCAGAGGCAGGTTTAATTTCCTCCATCCTTGGTTTTGCACTAGGTAAAGCTTTATGCTTGGGGGTTTGGTGTATATTGGACGAAGGTGAATTCTGCAGGTGTAATGGCTTTGGAGGCACTGTAGAAAAAGAATAGAATTCAGTATTTCACTGATATTTTGTTCAATAACAGTAGAAAGTCTTGTGTCCTGGGTACAAAAATATTCAGCATTATAGAACCATTGTATGGTGGGGGGTGTCAAATTTTGAACTAAACCATAACCAAACGACTTTTGTTCCTCTTGGACATTTGCTTCGTGCCTTTTGGAAATCCCATCTCCTAACTTAATTGGTTCTTTTAATTTTATTGCATCTTAAATATGGCAATATTAAACACCTAGGAATATACATAAGGCTAAAGCATTCTAAGATCTATTACAGATAACACAGCAGTTATTCATCTAAATAGGGAAAAGGTGGTGCTAAATTTAAAACCAAATCCTAGAGACACATCGTCTGCTACAAAACAGATTTTCTAATACAGTAGAGTGATAATAGATATAACAGAAACCACAGCTAATGAGTTAAACAACATAAAAGCCAACAAAACAACAACAAACAACATTAATACAATGTTGCATTAACACAGGTCCACTTAAGGAAAGCATTTTATATCATTTGATCTTTGATGAAATATTATACTTTATAAGGTCTCTGAGGTAGGTACCACTCTTCTCCTCTTATGTCTATGAAAGCTTAGAGAGGTTAAGTGACTGGCCTGGGGTAACAGGCCTGATCTAATTTTATGGCTGGTATCCAGACTTTGCTCTCTCCATTACTAGCACTTCGCCTCATCATAAATGCAGCAAAAGCAGTGAAGGAGCCGGTGTGGTGGCTCACACCTATAATCCTAGCACTTTGGGAGACTGAGGTGGGTGGATGACTTGACGTCAGGAGTTCAAGACCAGCCTGGCCAACATGGTGACACCCCATCTGTACTAAAAAAAAAAAAGTACAAAATTAGCCGGGTGCGGTAGTGCACGCCTGTAATCCCAGCTACTCAGGTGGCTGAGGAACATGAATCACTTGAACCTTGGAGTTGGAGGCTGCAGTGAGCCAAGATTGCACCACAGCACTCCAACCTGGGTGACAGAGCGAGACCTTGCCTCAAAAAAAAAGAAAAAAAAAGCAGGTGAAGAGATAAAGAAGTTTTACTATCACTGTCTGCTATGTTACAGAGTTGGTGCTACAGGTTTGGATGTTTGTCCCCTCCATATCTCATGCTGAAATCTGGTCCCCAATGTTGGAGGTGGGAAATATGGGAGGGATTTGAGTCATGGGCGCAGATCCCTCATGAATGGCTTGGTACCATTCTTGCCATAGTGAATAGGTTCTCTCTCCATTAGTTCCTGCAAGACTGGTTATTAAAGAGCCTGACACCTCCCCATCTCTCTTGCTTCCTCTCTCTCCATGCGATCTTTACACATCCTGACTGCCCTATACCTTCTGCCATGAGTGGAAGCAGTCTGAGGCCCTCACCAGAAGTTAAGCAGATGCTGGCACTGTGCTACGTGTACAGCCTGCAGAACTGTGAGCCAAAGAAGCCTCTTCATAAATTACCCAGCATCAGGTATTTTCATGTAGCAACACCAAACAGTGTAAGACGGTTGACCTGCATCAATATTCCACAAATCATCTGCTTACTTCCTAAGTCCTCCAATAAATTAATAGGATAAAAACAGATTACTTCATGAAATACTAAAATCTACAGAATTTCCCTAACACACTGTAGATGATAAAATATAATATGCCATAAGTGCACAATCAGTACAAAAATTACTTTCCTTTTGAAAACCAGTATTACTTTTCTCTAAGATTAACATTCAGGATAACATATTATAACATGTAGGTATTTTTTAATAAGCGGTGTTGACAGATCAAATAGAATCATCTTTTTTCTTCTTTAAATCCTTTCTTTACCTTCTGGAAGAAGGATGAGAAATCATGTCGCCTCCTAATTACATGCCCCATTTTCCCTCAGCTGGTTTCCCTGGTTTTTAGTGATCTCGTCTCTTTTATAAACTCAGCTGACAGTTGGCTCATGCTCACTGGCCTAGATTTCATCATTTCGGTGCCAGTTATCAATTTATTATAGGGAAGGAAGAAAAGTCACAATGAACTACAAGTGGAGCAATTAATTCACTTAATTCCCTTCAATACAAACAAGAAGAAAATCTCAATTTAAAAAGGGCATGCTTCTTTTTGTGAAAATGGTATTTTCCAACATATGTCTGTGTGTGTGGGGTGATTAATATAGTATCATTTTGAAACAAAGGGGCTTATATAAGTGGAATATTTGTTAAGTTTACTGAAAAAACTCCTGTGTAGAATAAATATGTACTAATGTAGCAAAACAGGAAAATCTCCCATCAAAAAACCCTTTTAACATTAGGAGTAATAAATATGAACTAATGCAGTAAAACAGAAATGTCTCCCACCAAAAAAAAAGGAAATCTCTTAAGGTCATGAATAATTCAACATTCTTAACTAGAATACTAAAAGAAGGAAGTGAATAAAATTTTGTGTGCTAAATTTGTTATGAAATAACTCATCCATCTACCTAGAGTTTACTCGCTAAACATGCCCTATTTGTTATGTGCCAGATGCGTGAAAAACTAAAATACAGTGATACCTATCACTTTCTCAGGGATAACTCCACCCACTTTCCCAATCTAAATTTTGTCCATCTCTTACACTGTTTCATAAGCACTGTGTACTTTCTCTAAATTGCTTATCACAATTTGTGGTATAATTATCAAATAATTAGTAACAAGTAGGACTAAATAATAAAGCTGCAGTAAAATACTAAATATATTACAGATTTAAAGTTTTTTTCTTTCCTCCACAAGGCAGGAGTTGATGAAGGTAAGGAATATACCACTTTTGATCACAGGAACATCTAATGCAGGACTAAAAGAAAAAGAAATCTTGTATGCTATGTACTTACGATGTGAAAAAATCCAATTCCAGTTAAAAACCAAGATCTCATGTTTCAATTTAATAGTCTGTACCCAAAAGAAATGAACAGACGTGGCAGGTGTAACCCAGGAACTGATACTTAAATTACTGAGATTAAATTTCTCTTCATGGCCAGCTTTCTTAGTTTCTGGGCAACCAGACAAATTGCAGCCATCCTTTGTATCTCTTGTATGTTTTTGCTCTGCTAATCGGTTTTTATGTCAGCTTAATTCGAAGGTCCACCTGGAAACTTAAAGGGTAGAGGAAAACTTTTCCTCCCTTACATATACAAGATCACGAATTACAAAGGACCAGTAAATCCTTTGCATCATCCAGATTATGAAGACTACATTATTAAACTAAAATGAAAATAAAAATCTAAAGCTAAATAAATAACGATTTTATCAAACAGACAAATATTCACTGTTTAAAAAGTTTTCCCAAATGAGTTCTATAAGGGAAAAGATGATAAATTGTACGCGATATTCTAAGGATGCAGTTTATTATTAGTCTCTATTGGCATTACAGATAATGAGAATGGGTAGACTCTAAAGCTCCAATTCCTCCTCTTCTTGATATTTCAATTATTTATTTATTTAGATTTTTTCCCCTTTCTTCAGATACAATATTAATTCTACAGATCAATAGTGTGACATTTAAAAGGAGCAATACCATTTCCAGATTTGGGTTTCACATTCTGAGAACAGTGTAGTATGCAAATACAGTCTTTTCCTACTTGATTGTTAAGCTCTCTAGAGCAGTAATATTTTCAGGTAAAAGATGCCCTGAATCCAAATACCTCCTACTATAACATTTACTTAGCTGAGTAAGATTAGCTAAGTACAATTCTGCTACAATATGAACAATCAGAATCATATTGGTAGGTACCTTATTATATATCGAGAGCTAAATGAAAACATGTCTATTGGAAAGCCACAACAGTAGGTTCATTTTCTTTTCTATTTATCTTATAGAGTGTACTGATACAATCATATCTTATTGTAACTTCAAACTCCTGGGCTTAAGTGATACTACATCTCAGTCTCCAGAGTAGCTGGGATTACAGGTTGAGAGCCAACCCTCCTGGCTTCATTTTCTCTTGAAATAGATTTCCTGGGAACTTTCTTAGTGCTTGCCTCATCTCTAGTCCCCCACTCCTATGCAGCCTAGATTCCAGACACATTGCATTACATCTTCTATTGTAAGCTTGGTAAGTTTTTCTCAGGCTTCAGGTGTTTGCACATACCTACAATGGTCCGCTTGGCAAACTCCCATAATTCCCACAAAGCTCACCTCAGCCACCAACTCTTTTTCGGAAGGCTTACCTGGCTATTCCACCTCTTGCCCTCCCACACTGCGTCAAAAATCTTCAAGTATCTTCTCAACTAACATTTGTCATTTTGTTTTATAATATTTTATAACCAGGGTTGCCTCCCTAGACTTCTGAGTTCCTTGAAGAACAGGAAATGAGTCTCATCTTTGTTTCCATGATTATAGGTTAACATTCAACTCTTTTTGTTGTTGTTGAGACAGCGTCTACTCTGTCACCCAGGCTGGAGTGCAGTGGCACAATCTCAGCTCATTGCAACCTCCGACTCCCAAGTTCAAGTGATTTCTGTGCCTCAGCCTCCCAAGTAGCTGGGATTACAGGCGCCTGCAATCATGCCCAGTTAATTTTTGTATTTTTAGTAAAGACAGGGTTTTGCCACATTGGTCTCAAACTCCTGACTTCAGGTGATCCACCTGCCCCGGTCTCCCAAAGTGCTGGGATTATAAGTATGAGCCACCTTGCTCAGCTACATTCAAGTCTTAAGGAAGACCACTATTTCATGAAACGAATTCATTATATAATCTTACTGCTCCTGTCAAAGACTGAAAAAGTAACACACTGCTACTCTGAGAAGTAAATGACCAGAAAAATATTTAAAAGCACATGAAAGAACCCTACCAATGAAAGAAAGCACTTTGTAATCACACAAGATTAACATATATAAGACATCTATTTTTAAGATAACTATGTAACATCAATGTGAAATTTTCTCAGGATACAAAGTTTCAAAATACAAGAATGGCCTTCATCTGCCCCTCTCCTTGTTCAGCCTTCTTTGGCTCTTCTACAATG